CTAATGTTGGACATCAGTTTGATGTAAATGACAGCTTTCACTTTCTTTACTCCTCATAAACTAACTGTTTAAAATTAGGGAGGTGACAGTTTAGATCCAAGACTGCAATTGTAAAATACATGGCATCCATTACCTACACTACACAAGACCTGTAGATCCCTGAACCCATTTCACCTATCCTTAACTCTGTTGCTTAGGTAGCAAAAGGCTTTGTGGCCCAGGAGAGATTCACAGTGTTAAGGTGCTGTTGACCAAACAATTTAAATAGCTGGAAATAAATACCTGAGCACAGCTGAGAGTTGTTGCATACCTGAAACATCAAAATACTGAATAACAAATGAAATAACAGTGGGCAACTTGTTTTTTTTGAAGACAACTGAAAGCTGAAACATAAGCCAGCATGGCTTATGCATGACAAACATAACAGACTGAAACGTCTAAAAACTTGAGTTAGGTGTAGTCTTAAATGCACATGTCTTAAGTTAGAATTTATGGAAACACCACTGAATATGAAAAAATGGTATTGCAGTAGTTATTCATTAAAATATTGCCGTTTTCCAGTTTTGTCACATGTACTTAAGTGCAGTTTGGTTCTGCCGTGTCAAAAAGTTAGATACTGCTGATTGCCATAGTCCCTCAGCTCATTTTGGATCACTAGCTTTGAGACAGTCATCCCTGTCTCAGGGAGAGGTAAACTTTCAGTCCACTGTAGATTTGAGACTCCATGGTTTTGAAGCAGAGACTCTTCCTGCCTCTTGCAAACTGCAACAGGGCAGAGAAAATTACTTTTTTGGACTCCTGAAGATGAATATGAATCCTTTTCATCTTACTGTGTGTTGATAATTACTTTAAAAGACTGATTTGATTTAGTCAATTTCCTCTTGTCATTTTCTTTAGCTTCAAGTAAGTTGAGTCAGATAAATAGTGCTTAATTGCTTAGCAGTGATTATCAGTTTCTGGAAATAATGAGCTAAATCTCACATGTGCTATTGCCTTCTTAATCATTATCTGGCATTCCAAAACTGGCAACTGATTTATTCTACCTTTATTCTAGAGTACTTAATTACAAACCCGGCTTTTTCAGATGGCTTTTTTCAGCAATTCTCAAGTACAATCTTACATAATCTGAGAAATATGTAGCTGTTTCCTTTGAGAATGAATAGGCATAAAAGTGTTTGATGTTCTCGAAGTTTGGCTTGTGGGTCTTTTTTTTCTTCTTTTTTTTTTAATTTTAAGGTAAAGCTTTATTAGCAGGTTCAAACCAGCTCCCTCATATTGCCATATTAAAAGTGAACTTTAAAATAGTTAAAATTCCAGAAGTTCAAAAGTGTAGTGAGCAGGAATTAAATGGGGGAAAAAAGAAAAAGGGAGGGGAGGGAGGGTGTAAGCAGTAATGGGTAATTACTGTCCAAAGTATTCAGAATTGTAACTGAAGGTTGAGTGAGGCCTAGAACTAATTCACAGTTCTGTTCACATTCTGTTCACAAAATTCTATGTATTTTGTACTATTTCTGTATTTTAAAATAATTTGGTATGATTGTGTTAATGATGCTATGGGTGCTATATAAACACTGTAAAGATACAGCAGTGTTTCTAATGATTGTATTTCTGATTTTGTTTTCAGAAAGACAAACTGCTTCTGGTCCTGGATTTGCTTGGAGAAACTATATTATATCACAAGACAAATATAAGTGCAGAGCAGCCCGAGGTGATGTTGGTGCATCACAGAATGGCGTTTATTAGCATTTCACTCTTTGCTGTTAGATTGCTGCAAATACTCCTCCCTGTAGAAAAGGTATGCCATCACTAATTTTAAGTTATTGTCTCTTGCTTTTGTATTTCAAGAGAGCAAAAAGAGATACCTTCCTCAGAGATCAGTGCTGGGAGCATAGCCACTGGACAGAGAAATTAATGAGATTGATACTGGCTGATGGATGATCACAGAAGGCAACTTTGTCCATTCTTCACTTATTGGTGCTTTCTGCAGAATCTTCTGCAGATTTTAACTCCTCAAAAATATTTTTAATACATTTTTTAATGAATTTTTGAAATTAAGTTTTCTTTTTCCTCCTATAATATTTTTTTTCTGGTGTGATGCATGGTTTGCAAAGCTATGCTGCCCCCTGCTCCTTTATAGTATGTGTGCAAGTAAGACTAGAACTACATGTTTAAAATCATCACTCATAATGTGATGGAGCATAGTAAGCAATTGTATTTCATACATGATACTGACTTTAATTATTCTTTGCTTCAATGCTCTTGAAAAGAAATGCTGTTGTAGCTCTTTTAGAGTTATTTGGTGGTGTTCCACACCTCCCCCCACACCCTGGTTTATTTCCTATGGATGGGAGGGGTCTAATGTTTGGAAGTTTTTGTGGGATTGAAAGCATTAGAAGATGTTTTAACGTGTATTAGTTTAAATTTTTTTATCATTTTTTTATTGCAGTGTAGCTCTTTCAGACATTCTTCAATCTGAGTAGCAGATTGATTTTCAGTTACAGGTTTTTTGTCACAAATATTTTTTTTTTACTATTAATCTAAGTAGTCTCTTGTACCTGCAGATAAGTACAGACATAGCAATCTAGTGTATCTTTATAATTCTTTCTCTTTATTTTGTTGTGTATATAATACAACATTTCAATTCTGTATATGAAGGGAGTTAGAAAAAAGTTACTGTATTTGAGGTGAAAATTTTGGTTGAAGGAGTACTGAACACTTGCAGTAAAAAAACCCAAACCACCAGCAACAGAAATGCCAGTTCTTTGTATGTGATAGTACTAAGTGGAACCGTAGAGAGCTTTCTGCTACTTAGAGCACTAATGGTGCTGTGAGCGTTCTCTGCCATCTGGCGGTTAGACAGGCACTTGGCCCTGGGCAGTGCTGTGTGTGGGTGGGAGTGTGGTGGCTGGGTCATACACAGCTTTTGTGACTGCTTGGAGGTCTGACATCTAATAAACTCTCACTTTCTAATTAAAAAAAAAAATTGTCATATATAACTCGTTTTATATGTGTTTCTTTCTCTAATTTTTAAGTAGCAGCCGTTGAGTGTGCTTGTTGAAGGGCTGCAAATGCTGTTGTTGGTTTTACTGTATTTTCAGGCTATTATTCTGACAGTTGTTTTCTTTTTCCAAGGCGAGCAAAGTTTTACAAAAGAGTTTGCTGAATGCTTTATTTCTTCTCTCTCTGGACGTGCCCTTCTCCTTGGAACACCCAAGCATTCATGAATCCATTGCAGCCTATCTGGAGCAAGCGAGTACTGAGAACTACAGTATTTATAAACAAGCTGCGGAAGCTGCGTATTCGATCGAATGCACTTGTAGCTTTATGATCGAAGCTCATAAGAAGGTGGGCAATTTTATTATATAAAATATTTCCTGTAAGCAATTTTTTTTCTCCACTTCCTTTTCTCTGTGGTAAAAACTATAGTCTAGCATAGCTGAAGAAAATCCTGAAGTATGAGTACTCTGTACCATGCAAGTTGTAGTTAACTTAAACTTGTTTTCTCTAATACTACTCATGATGTTTTTAAAGACCTCACCCTGAGTAAAACCAAATATAACAACTTCTTGGAGATGGAAGTAGGCAAAAGACCTTTAATTGGCAAAGAAGTAAGAAACAAGCAAATACTCTATTTAAGTATATGCTGTGTGTCTATGTGTGTGTGTTTGTACGTTGTCCAGTATTTAAATAGTTTGGAAAATTTTAATTCCCAACTACTTTGCAATTGTGGCTCTAATAAACAACTGCTTCTAGACTGTGTGAGATTTCTGTGTTTCACCTTGTTATGAAGACAATTAATACCCTTTGCTTTATTAGTTAAGAAATTTTAGCATGGTACCAAACTAATCTTCTCAGTTATCCAAATAGACATATGATTGTGCAACTGCTAATTCCATTGATACTAAAATAAAAGATTAAAATACAGCGATGTAAATGTAGTGCTATCTTAAATCTGAGTTAATCTATCCTTTATATAGGCAGGTTCTGATCCTAATAGAAGCAATACTTTGTTCATAGAATACTGTTTACAAACTTCATCAAGTTTAACTGGCTCATGCTTAATGTATTTCGTAACCAAAATGTGAAGACATACGTGCTTAACTCTAAAAAGAAAAACAACTTGGTCTTTGATATTCATAGCGAATTGTTAAAAGTTGAAGAATTAAACCTTTCATTATACTCTTCACACATAAAATGCATATTGATTTTTAAAAAATAATAATTTCATTTAAAAGAAAAAATATTCAAGGATGAGTCTATTTCTGGGTATTTTAGAAAGTGTTCTGAATAGAGTTACAGTGTTCATGCTGTGCAATGGTAGACATTTATTATTCCCATTGAGTTTAATAGAAATTTATTTGGATTCAGCAGCTGAAGGGTTTTCAGCTCCTAGGAGTAGGTTCTAAAATTTATTTGTTTGAAATTTATTGAATTTGTTAATAAGGTTAATTATAAATTCTGTGAAAGGCTGAACCAAACCCTAATTAGCACGTGTATTAAATGATGATATGTTCTATGAAATAACGTTACATACTTTTTATATTACTAATTCTGATAATTTCTTTCTCTTCATTTTACTTCTCAGGGGGACAAGAATCTTTCTGAATTAGTAGAATTGGCAGATAAGGCCTTGAGTAGTCTACCCTACCATCAACACTTTCCCTTGCTTCAGGAATGCATTCATATATGCTCAAATATGTGAGTACAGTAGTACTTAAAACGCTTACTTGAGAAAATATAAACTTTTCTAATGGATAAACTTTCACAAGTGAAAGCTCAACTTGTTTATTCCCTGTACTTCAACAATTGTTTTCTTTTAGCCATTGAAATGTCTTTGCTAAATAATTTGTGTAGTTCTGTAGCGAGATTTTTGAAAATTGAATTTCAGGTGATAAAAAACTAACGTTTTATTCTTTTTTATGCATAAGTTTTTAGGATTTTGTATATGAAGTTACTGTGTGATTTACAAAGAAGCAGTCTTAAAACACTTTGACCTGTCTTTTGAATTAAAAAAAAAATTTCTTTTTTCCAAGTGGATTTGTGTAATTTAATTTTATTTTACTTTCAGAAATTCTAAAGGACTTATTTTATTGTAGATGCTGTACATCACAATATGGTATCTCATTTATTAAACAGCATGTTTTTATTGCTTTTTAGACCTTCCAGGTCTCTAGTTAGAGAATTTGTTACCCTATGGTGCTTGAAGAAGTTCTGTATAGATCACTTAATAAAAGAATCTTAATTTTATTCTGATTCAGAATTTGACCTTACAGATTTTTTTCAAAGGAAACTACATTTAAGAGCTTTCTGTTAAGTGTTTTTAAACCATGAAACATCAATACACTTCTCAGTGTCCTCATGCTTTTAGAATTAATTATTGTTTAATTGCTGTTTCAGACAGCAGGAAATTCACTTCAGTTTTTTAGCTAGCATAAATTGACTTTGTGATAGTGACATGGTCTTTTATGTCTCTGAGGAAAAAATTCTGGAAGCATGGAATTTTCTTATAATCTGTGATCTAAGGAGGCTGTGGAAGCTCGATAGAATTTTATGTTTTGAGATGACCATAAATCTTTGTCAGGCTCCTAATTTTAATAAGAGAATTTGGAAAAACTTTTGATTACCTACATGTGTAAAAAAATCCAACCAAACAAAAAAAACCAAACCAAAACAAACATGAGGATTGATACTATGATTTCGGCAATTATATTGTGATTTCTGAACTTTTATCTGTCAAATAATTTTTCAGGAGGTATACCTTTTCAAGAGTATTTTTCAGAGGTTATTCTGAAATGTAACAGGAAAAAATTTGTAGGCATCTTTGAGTACTTTAAAATAAGTAATAGTTAAACTAATTATTTTTCATTTTTAGTTGGATGTCTGCCGAGGCTAACTCATTGCTCCAGGCTGAGGGTCAGAAGGTGCTTCTCCGACTATTGTCGCATCCTTCGCTGGATATAAAAACTGAAGCCTATCACTGCTGTTTGGAAGTGGTTAAGGTTAGAACTAATGCTTAATGCTTGCTCTTGGTGGTGTGCTGAATAATGCATATTGTACAATTTTCCCATTGAAAGCATTTTTAATGCAAATTCTGTTTACTGTGTTATATGCTGTGAAATCTGTATAGGTCTGAGCTTGCAATTTGCTGTTACATTTTTGGTATGTATTTTCGTAAATCTATTGGGTTAGGTTACTTCAGTTACTGCACTTCAGAATGACAGGATCTGTAAAGGGGGAAAACCAGTGACCAACAATTTTATTTGTTTTAAAGGATTCTTAATAGTGCTGGTCACTTTTTTTTTTGCTGCTGTTATACAGAAATATTTTATGTAATTTTGTTTTTAAAAAGAATTCAAGTGTTCAGTTGTGCTTGTCTGCTGAAATGAGGTTCATGGAATCACAGACTCATTTGGGTTGGGACCTTTAAAGATCATCTAGTCCAACTCCTATTTCCCTAGATCAGGTTGCTCAGAGCCTCATCCAGCCTGACCATGTTTCCAGGGATGGGGCATCTACAACCTCTTTGGGGAACCTGTCCCAGCATTTCACCACACTCATCGTGTAAACTTTGTTCCTTATATTTAGGAACATCTAGATATATCGTCTTTTAGTTTAAAATCATTACCACTTGTCCTGTCGCAACAGGCCTTACTATAACGTTTGTCCCCATCTTTCTTATAAGCCCCCTTTAAGTACTGAAAGGCTGGAATCAGGTCTCTCCGGAGCCTCCTCTTCTCCAGGCTGAACAAGCCCACTTCTTGCAGCCTTTCGTCATAGGAGAGGTGCTCCAGCCCTCTGATCATCTTCATGGCCTCCTCTGGACTCGCTCCAACCGGTCCATCTCATTCGTACACTGAGAGCCCCAGAGCTGGATGCAGCACTCCAGGTGTGGTCTCTCGGGAGCAGAGGGGGAGAGTCACCTCTCGCGACCTGCTGGCCACGCTTTTCTGGATACAGCCCAGGATACGATTGGCTTTCTGGGCTGCCAGCGCACACTGCCGGCTCATGTCCAGCTTTTCATCCACCAGTAACCCCAAGTCCTTCTCTTCAGGGCTGCTCTCTATCCATTTATCATCCTGTCTGTATTGATACTGGGGATTGCCCCGTCGCAGGTGCAGCATCTTGCGCTTGGCCTTGTTGAACCTCATGGGCTTTACATGGGCCCACTCATCAAGGACAGATTCTATTCCCTTTATAGTGATTTTTCACTTCCTTGTGGTTTTCTTTTTGTTCAGAGTTTGGTTTTGTTTGGTTTTTTTTTGTACCTGAACAAAAATAATTTTGGGTTGACTGCTTTTTTGCTTTTTGCAAGGATGTTTACGGAAAAAAAACCCGCACCAATAACATCGATAAAATACTGACACTTTCAGAATAAACATTTTTACCCAGATTACACTTTAATTGCTTAGTCCTTATAAAAATTGTGAAAGAAAAATACTTCTTTTCTATGTATAAAAGCACAGGTTGTGTTTAAGAATATCTAAGTCCTTTTATGTGCTCATTGTTTTAAAACCCTAATTTGTTTGAAGGGGAAAGTGTGTATTTTGGTTTTGAGATTTTGTTTTATATGGTTATTTTGTGACTGCCTTAGCTTTATAAAGATAGTGAATGGGGTAAAGTGTGTGAACTTCTTAAAAGTGTGACTGAACTCTATATTAAAAATGGCAATATCATATTCATGAGGTAATTTTAGGTGGTCAGAAATATGGGCTCAGAAAATAAAATTCACATTACTATTTTGATATAATACTTGGTCATAATTCTTGTTTTCTTTAATGGACATCAGCTAAACTTACTGTATTTACAGCACAATTCACTCATGTACAAAGATACAGGAGCTAGTCTTTCGCAAATAAATCCCTTATCTCCACTGAATGACACTTATATCTTTTTGTGAGATTTTTACCTGCCTGATTTCGGTTTTGCCTATTTTAATGTAATACCAAACAACATATAAAGTTTGTCTAATTTATTTACCTATGATTTAAAATAAAAATAATTTTATTTTGTATTTTCTAGTCCTTTGTGGCCACAGAAAATTTCAATCCGTGATCTATAAACTTGGTGGTTCTTCCAGGGCAGTAATATTTAGCTTTCTGAACTGTAGTCATCCAAGCTGCATGGAGAATGTCTTTCACTGGATGACAACTTCAGGCAGTTTATAAAACAAGATGTGGTAGTGGAGACTGAATCTTAAAACTAACCAACTTTATTTTTACTGAAGGACTGTTTAGGTATTCATAATATTGCTACGCCTGGGTCTTCAACCTGCCACGGAGTACACTTTCTTCTTCATCCAAAAGTTTTATATGAAATCTGTACATTTGGCCTTCAGGAAGATAAGAATGAGGTACCGTGTTTAGTAGCTATATTTATAAGTTGATGTGCATGAAAAGTAGATGCTGATATTCTCCATGTTTGTCTGAGCCTTTCTTGAAGTTTTGACTGCATATGGTTTCTTGCATATAGAAAAGCTATGGAAAGAGTTAAGTTACAGTAAATAGATTTTTTTTTTTGATGATGAATTCAGGAACAAAATAATGTTGCATTCGTGGGATGCTATTAAATGTAAGAAACACCTATGAAAAATGTTATGTTAAGCTATGTTTTCTAATTTTTTCCTCTAATATATTCGGCCCCAATAAAATGTGCTTCTGATGAAATAGTGTGTGTGTTGGCAAACATGAAGTCTCAAGTCTTTATAAAGGTGGGATGACCTCTGAAATGTGTGCACTGGTTGAGGAGCAAAAAGACATTTTAAAATTGCAGTGTCATTGCTATTAAGATGTATTTCATCACTATAAACTATGGTCTAGTGGAAGGTGTCCCTGCCCATGGCAGGGGAGTTGGAACTAGATGATCTTTAAGGTCCCTTCCAACCCAAACCGTTGTATGATTCATTCTATTCTATGATTCTAAACACATCTGGGTTTAATTACCTGAATATGATAGAAGTGTTTTATGGTATTTATAGGATAGGACGAAGTTTCCATTGTGTTGGTTTATATGCATGAATACATGACATTTATCCTCTGTTTCCTAGCTTACATATAAAGCTAAGCGTGGAATTCTGAGAGGGGGAAGAATTAGTTAGGTTATTTGTAATTACTTTATAGCTGCTCTGTAAGGTCCCTACAGTCAGAGAGGAAAGAACATTGACTAACAAGTTTTTCTTTTAGTTTTTTTCAACTTGTCTCCTGAAATGACATTGTGTTCCAAGGTTGGGCTTAAGATTTGCCATGTGATTCCTTTTACAAATGCAGTTCTTTAGATTATAGGGTGGAGTGATATTGTTAAAGGCTGTTCTTCTTGCCTGGAGTGAGGGAATTTTTAGCTCTGGCATAAAATGCGCAGACTGTTAGCTGCTAAAGGTAGGTGTTTTTACACTATGTAAGGAAGAGTGCCTTCTGTGGGAAGAGTGCTGGGTTTTTTCCCCCTTTGTTCCCATAGTAGCTTGCAAATACTTTCATATCACATGTAGTGTATGTTATGTACTGTGTACAGGATACATAAATACAGTGTAAGTGCTGTATAAGGCGTTTTTTCCTTTTTGATAAAGAGCTTCAGATGAATTTGTGTACAGCCTTTTTAGTTTGACTGTTTGCCTCAAGAAAGTGAAATGGCCATGTAACAGGTTTTAAGTCTTTTTCTTCCTGTATCTTCAGAAGCGTATCGCAAAGACTGGCAATGAAATGCCCCAGAAAGGTAGGGTCAGGAAAGAAAAGAAACAGAATTTGTTTTACCTGCGGGATAGAGGGACCAGTATGTGTATAAGTTGAAGTAATGGTTTATTTTACTTCAGAAAAGAGAAAAGAAAGTTCTAAGGGGAAAATGATTGGGTGCTATTTAGGCAGAACTATCTGTGTGTTTTCTGAGAGGTTTTTTTAACAACTTAATATTTAGTGTAACTGATGATTTAAAAGTAGCATTCTGCAAGCACAATATTTTGTCCATAGATCCTTTCTTTGAGATGTTTTTGTATAACATTTCCAGTTACAGCATTAAAAAACTGACCTAGACACAGTGGTGGTTGCATTAGTTTGTTTGTTTGTTTTTAATTTGTTATTGAGCAGGTGAACTCCACAGCCAAGGCTATTCTGATGCATCTATTGCAGGGACGATTAGTAATGGAAGTATTGACTTGGAACAAATTTATTGAGGCTCTCTATCCCGTCATTCCTGTTTTACAGGTACTTTTAAGTGCTCTAAGATGATTTTGGTGTATCAAGTCATGTAAAAAACAACACTGTCATGTTGAAGAACAAACAATGTTCACCTAAGTAGCAGGTGGAAAACAGATTAACAGTGTTATACCTAAAGATGTGTTTTGTCAGATGTCAAATGGAGAAATGTTTTATAGAGGTCCTAATGCCAGTCAAAGTTACTACTTTGAATTTGTGGACAAATTTTATCTTGGTTTACTAGAATGTGAAACTTTGAAATGCTGTAATAGAAATCAGCAAGTATTGACTGGGACTTAAATGGTTTGAAGATATAAGTGGATAATGCAAGTATAGATTAAAACATTACATGCTTTTTAAAATTAGTCATTAATTATTAAAATGTCTCTCATATCTTAAATTTGAAAATTGTAACTCTGTGATGCTTATATAGTTTTCTGATCAAGTACGTGCTTATTAAATAGCAATAGGTGTAAGCTGTATTTTCTGTTTATTTAGATGTTAGGGTTTTTTTTCCAATATTATAAGAGTATTAACTGGCAATATTATCCTTAGACCTTAGTCTTCGTTTCAGTAATAACAGGCAAATTTTCCTTTTGTTATCTTTAGTCTTGGCTTGATGAAATGGGAACTCCTGCCTTTCTCAGTCTGATTTTCAGCCCTATTGTTCTATTCAAATTCTTTATTGTTTTTTCTCTAGTGTTAGAAATTTCCCTTCTGTGATCTGCCTATAATCTTCCAGATTAGATATTCTACTGCACCTATCTGATGTCTGTCTTTCCTGACATTGCAGGGATTTTTTTGCCTTATTTCTGCCTTTTATTTAACTTAGCTAATACGCCCAAGTATACCTTTTGTATTTTTTCCCTCCAAAAATATCACTCTTGATAATTATAGCTACTTATTTATATCACTGCCATATATTCATTCGTTGCCTGCACCTCAGCAGTAACATAAGTTAAAAAAGCACTTATATAATTAATGTTGTTTACATAAACTGCACAAAATCAAAGAAAAAATGGGAAGAAATTGCAAATAGATGGACCATGACACAGAAGGCTCAAAGTGAAAAATATATGGAGGAAATACACTGAGAACTTGAAAGTTATGGCAGAAAAGTTATTTCAGAGCTTTCTCACCCAGTGATGTCAGCTTTTCTGTGTTATCCACCTACACACCTTTTTATTGATATTCAGGATTAAATAGGTGGGGGGTTAATATAAGATGTAGATTAAACATGTGAGAGAGAATTTATCCCTACTCATTTTGAGTAGAATTTTCCTCTTCTATATCCTGTGGTGACTACATACAATAGATACTTGAGCAGAACATACAGGAGGCCTATATTTACCCAATGCATATAAAATGCCTTGTATTTTACTATTTAAATGTTTGCAGTATCATTACTTGATGTAACTGACTCTGGTTTGTTTTGGTTATGCATGAAAACGCTTTGACTAAATATCTGAAAATAGACAAGATTTAAGGTTTTGAAGCCATTTCTTGTAGGGCCTTAGTTGTATTTATTTAAATGAAAACTGACCTTATAGGGCAGCATTGTGTTAACAGATTAAAGGGTAAAGCTTCAGGTCAAACTACCTCTGGGCCATGTAAAAGTCTTTCTTTTCATGTGTATACAAGATCTTTTATCAATTTTAAAATTTTTTTTATGGAGGAATATTAATCTGCAGAAATTTAATGTTTTCTTAAATGTTACTGCTTTTTTAGGGGTTTTTGCTCCTTCCCCACCCTCATTTAGCCCCTTAAAGGGAAGTTACCGCATCTAGTTTACTCACTTACTAAGTGCATTTCTTTTTAATTTTTGAAAATTTGTGTGTGTGTGTTTGTTTTAGGGTTATGCTGACACAAAAGATACTCTAGGTAACTGTATCCTCATTTTGAGTGAAACAACCTCTGACAAAGGAGGAGAGGGTATTCTCCCTAGAACTACTAGACTACGGGCAGCTCTGCGTCTTCTCTTCTCAAAAAAGCAGTTGTAAGTAATGCCTTGTAGCATTTCAGCATAATTTCTGAAGTTGATGACAAAAATTTGTGTTCTTAAAAAAATTGGTCATTATGCAGTGGGTTGATTTGAAAGGTAGATTAATTGATACTGAGTTGACTAAGGACTTCTTCCCCCACTGTATGAATTTCATAAACTAATTAATTTTTAACTATACAGCTAAAGTTTTCCACTATGTGGACTTTATATATTCATTTTAATCGTTTGCTCTTTTAGGGTTCGTTCTATAGCACTTAAACATCTAACATTCCATCTTTTAAATGAAGAAGGGGCAAACCTGAAACGCCCGAATCTGCATGGTAGTGTACTTTCCAGCATTTCAAATTTATTTATTATAGAAAGAACTATTGAGCTAAAATTGGATGATAAAACAGAGTCGGTATTGAAGGTGAGTAAACTTTGTATAAATGTTGTCATTGGTCAGCTCTTCGACCTGCTCAGTCACTGAAGTTACTACTTCTTGAGGCTTGCAGTATTTCATATAAATTGGCTAGCTACGTTTAAAAAAAATTCCGTTGATATATTCCTTCCATGTGAACTTAAGCTGTAGTTTTTGTCCTACCATAGGACAAAAGAATTTCCTTCCTTCTTTTTTTTTTCTTCTGCAGATAGATTAACAGCAAGATTTAATTTGAGAACAAAGAGCACAGGCCTGCTCTGTTCACAGTTTCGTGGGTAGTCTGATTTTTCTCACGTAGACCCTTTTTTCCTCACAAAATCAATTTTTACTGGAACTTGCACAAGTAATTTTTAGTATTAAATATTCTAAAACAGATTACAAATTTACGCCTGTGTGTTCTTAATATTGTTGCTTTTGCAAAGTCAAAATATTTGAGCTATGGGAAAACTTGTATCTCTCATTTGTTTTTCTTTTTTTACCATTTACCTCCATTTTCCTTCTTTACCCTTAACGCTTTCAGATTAACAATATGTTAAACCAAATGTTCAGATGCTTGCCCTCTGTAAAAAATTATTCTGACCATTCATTGTACACCTGTTTATACTCTTCGCCTACATCCTTCAAAAAGTTAGGACCTGAAATTTGTATGGTTATGTAGGATTATTTAATTTTTTTTTTTTTCTGTTGCCATTAAAAGTCACTACTCTTCAGAGACTTAGAAGCATTTTCTAGCATTTTTGTGTCATGTTGAGCTTTCTTTAGTCCTACATAAATTAAGCATTATTTGTTAGAAATCTGCTTCTGTTGTGCACTAAAAACTATTGTCTTATATTTCACAGGTGTTAGTAGAGATCTGTTGCAAAAAGATTATAACCTAATCCTTTCTTATTACATGCATGTGGAATGTAATTGTAATAGTGTATTGGATGTAAGTCTAATACAGTTTTACTTTCAGGCAGAAACTGTTGAAAAGCTGTATGACATCCTGACTTCAGATGCTGTTGACCTAGTTTTACGAAAGTCTGCAGCTGAGCAGCTAGCTATCATTTTAGAAGGTAAAATTCTTCAGAAAATTTGTATTCATGCTCTGATCATTTCATGAGCTAGCAGTTTTGCTAGATTTTCTGTATGTTTCTGCTAAAGGTGCTCTTTGTAATTTTAACCTACACTGTTGGACCTGAATTTTAACAATATCATGGATAATCTACCAATTGAACTAAAAAAAACACTTAATGTTGTTATTGCACGCAAGAATAAGCAATAGTGGTCTAGATATTTTAAAAAAACAGCTCCTTTGGGTAATAGAAAAGTAAGCGGAGTTCTGTAAGCTCTGTAAGAGCTTCTTGTCTGCTTTTCCTTTTTAATGATTATCCAGTTGTTGATCTGCTTCAGGACTTAATAGTGCTTCAAATTTTTTGCTATTGCTAACTCAGATACTCAGTCTTGAGTGAGGAAGGCAGTGGTCAATATAAAATACATAGGTATTTTTGATGGTGTTCTATTTAATTAGGAAAGTTAATTTTTAGATTACATAGGCTAGATAAGGGATTGTATACTTAGTGAAGAATTTCTTCTACCATTCTGAATTTCTTCCTCCATTTTGTGTTAGCCTAAGTAGTCCCTGCAGTTAAAATGGACTGAAATGACATTTATGTGAATGAGGGTTCAGTAAATTCAAGCTAAGCTTCCATGATTATACCCTCTTTCAATATCAACAGTCAGACTCCCTATGTTTGCTGGGAAAGTGTTCCTCCTTTTACTCTTTATGTTCAGTGAATTAAATAATAACTTTTGCATCGCAGGTGCTTTTTTATAATTGTATTGCTTACATGGGGAAAAATTACTAATTCTGGTAAAGAAATTCTGATTGAATTAAGATGCAAGTAAGAATTCTTGCATAGAGCATTATTTGACTTGGGGCAGGGTCATAACTGCAGAGTTTCAAACCTGGGTGATTTTAGTCTACCTACTGAAACTCTGATTCAAGTATGTTTTCTTCAACGAGCTCAAATCCTAATGTAGAATGTAAGTTTTTCACTGTGGGAAGGCAAGGTCTTAGATAATACTAAAATTAACATTTTTGTTGTCAGAGAAATGAGGAAATGTCTACTTTGTCTCATAAAATACATTTAGTTATGGCTGCTAAATTTTTCAGATGTCAAAAAATAATATGAAACATAGCATAGGATGAAATTGTAAAGGAAAAAATGCAGCTTTATCAGGACAAATTTCATATGTAGGATCACCTTATAACTATTTAAAAAAAAACCCAGCCAACCTAAATGACATAGCTTTTCTTCTTGTTGAATATTCTTAAACTATATGCTCAGAAGGATGAGATCAATGGAAAATACGCTCACAGTGATTGAGTTTTTGTAAATACGTTTTTAATTCCATACTAAACTGTTGAAGATGTTTAAATATTGAAAATAGAATCCTTGTTTAACTGAAATTGAGTTGCGTTGGGGATCACTGTAATTGTGGAACATAAAGTTCTTATGGGAATTTATGTAAGATATTTAAGAGTCTACTGGTAGCCAGAGGCTACTGTAGTCTGATAGCAAAACTTGTAGAGGCTTGTCTTGGTAGAGGTAGAGCTGTGTTCATTCTGTTGATTGGCAATTTTGGAAACTTGTGCTCAACAGCAAGGTTTTGATCTTGCAGAAAGAAATTTATATTAAATTGGTGCAGAAACAGTGATTCTCTCTATCTATTGTTTTTCTTACAGATACCAAAATGCATGGCATTGTGAAAAAATTGGGTGTAATAGAAAAGATTTTGGGCTACCTTAAGGAATGTGTACATGTGGATGGCAAGGTAAACTATTGTTACGTGTTCTTCTGCAAGCATTGCACAGCATACCAGTAGTAGAATCTGCCTTTTTCTGCATTTATAACACTAATCTTTGCGCATTAATTCTGGGCAGGATACAAATGTTTAGTAACAATCGTAATTGCAATATGCATTTTGTTTATGATGTTTTTGATAATGCTAAGATTGTCTAAATGAAAGAAAGTTTGCCTGCCTATGAGAATAGCTAGCCAGAGAGCTAACTGTATTTGGTGTGGTTGAGAAATACAACAGAACTTCCCTGAAGCTTTCTCAGTAGAGACCAAAAAAAATATTTTTAATGACCTTAAAAATGAAAGTCTTATATTGTATATCGTAGTCTTTAAATATACATCCTGAAGCAAATAGTAATTAAAAATGAGATGCTATTGAAAATGGAAATCTACATATCAGATTGAGTTTCAGGTATAAGTGATTTTCTGACCAATAGAAGATCACCTCACCAGGAAAGGTCTCAGAAGATAACATCACTTTTAGAGTTGAGTGTGTATTTGCTGTAGATGACCAAGCTTTCCATTTTTGTAATATGTCTAATCTGATGTTTGAATTTTTATGAAATTAATTAAATAAGCTTGCACAAAATTATTTTAAATAAGCTGTTTCTCACTTAATTGGATAACCTTTTTGCATATTTCTTAGTTTGCTGGCATAGTATTATAGCCATTCAACAGTCCAAACCTCTCAGGTATTTTAAGAAATTATGAGAAGTTTTCTGTAGTAATGACTTGTTTCCCAAAAATATACAAGAGGAAAGGACTGTCAAGTTCCTCTTACTTGTCAAACTAATAAAAATTACGTTGTTCTTCATTAGTGGTAATGGTTTTTATCCAGATTATCAGTACCTGAGATTATTTTATCCCGTTAGCATTAAGGAATGTCTAGTCAAGTTTATGATAGTTTGATTACGAGTACTTTTGTAAATCACCGAGACCCCATTGGAGAATTTAAAATATTTGGTTCTTCAGGGGTTTTTACTGTGGGGTTTTTTTTTGTGTAATGTCCATATTTTATTCTCTTTTATTATCTTAGATTTTTTTTTTTTTTTTACAGATAGAGAGTAATACAACCATTATTTTATTTTGTTTTGGATAGTGAGTAGATCACAGCATCATAGAATTGTTTGGGTTGGAAGTTCCAACCCCCCTGCCATGGGCAGGGACACCTTCCCTTCC